TGTGTGTGTGTGTGAGTGTGTGTGCGAATGTGAATGTGTGTGTGTGAGAGAGAGAGTGTGATTGTGCGTGTGTGTATGTGAATGTGTGAATGTGTGAGTGTGTGAGAATGTGTGAGTTTGTGAGTGTGTGAGAATGTGTGAGTGTGAGAATGTGAGTATGTGAGAATGTGTGTGTGTGTATGTGAGTGTGTGAGAATGTGTGTATGTTTATGTGAGTGTGTGATTGCATGTGTGATTGTGTGTGCATGTGTGTGTGTGTGAATGTGTGTGTGAATGTGTGTGTGTGTGTGTGAGTGTATGAGAATGTGTGTGTGTTTATGTGAGTGTGTGATTGTGTGTGTGTGTGTGTGTGTGTGTGAGAAATGTGGAGTTACGTGGAAGTTAGATGATGACCCGGAGTTTGTTGATTTCTTGAGCATCTGTCAGTAGCTGACGATTCTTAATCCTTGTCACTTTTGGTGAGCTAATCAGCCCAAGTAGATTCCTTTGGCTGCTCCCCAGGATTGCATTTATATCCTATTCTCCTTGTTGCGTAGTAGAGTTGGTAAGGGTGGCAGGGGAGCAGGGTAGTGGGGGAGGGAGGTGGGGGCGCGGGGGTGAAGGTCACAGTTTGGGGTCAGTCTTTATGCTAGTTCTCTAACGGTCATGAGAGACTCATATTTCATCTCCATATTCACCGGCGTCTGCTAATCCAAACTGAGTCCAAGCAGGACTGAGTCTTAAAAAAGCTGACAGCTGAATGATCACTACCATAGAATGATCAAGATGAAAACTGCTGATGCCCTAATTCAGAAGTGGTTGATCCTATGGCTGAAGTCAACAGCATCTTACTGTGCTGTCTTCCACTGCTGAAACGACAGCTCTCAACAGAGGCTTAGACAGTGATTTAAAGAAGGATATTTTCTAACTGGTAGGAAAGTTTGAAAGACTCCAGGCAGATTCCTTGAGACACAGTTTATCCATTGAATAAAAAACAGAGAAATGTGGTTGAACTTAAGTAAGTCTGGAAAACAATAACTGGCAGTTCATTTATTCTGAAGGACCATATGGTCAAATGTTGGAATATAGTCTGTATCGGCTATGAAACCTGGGTTGAACTGGCTCAGACACAGGAAACAATGGTTTCCTTTCTCACCGACAGTTGCTGCAGCTTCTAATTGAAGGATCTCAAGTGAAATATGGTCAAGCAGTCAGAATTTATTTTTCATCGACATAATTCTGCAACTCTAAAATCAGCCCTCGTTGTTAATGTTTCTTCAGGAGGTCATGGGGAGCGTAAGTGGGAGGATACAGCAATGATTGAATGTCTCTGGAGGTGAAGGACTGATGGCACTGATGCTTTCAGATTGTTCTGTGATCAGCAAAAAAAAGCACCTCTGTATTAAATCAAGCCATGCCATACCTGACTAAATGTAGTTGGATTTTATCATTTTACTATCTGGCAGAATAATTTTGGGTAGCTGTATCATTAAAAAGGTCAGATCAAATGTACTGGCATTGGCTGCTTAGTAGTGTTGAATTCTGATGTTTGGGCAGAAATGACCAGGCATGTGTCAAAGCAACATTTTACTCCCACCTTGTGTGTTATTTCAGTACTCTAATGTAGCTAATTTAGGATTTTTTTTTATTTAACCTATCTTTCTAATGAGCTTGTTCAGAGACATTATTACACACATCTGCAGCAGATGGGACTTGAACCCAAGGTCTCCCAGTTTGATGGTAGGGACACTACCACTGCACCACAAGAGGACCCATAGGATACCAGAGACAACAAGGTGTAGAGCTGGATGAACACAGCAGGCC